CGTAACTGGTTCAGTTAATGTTAAGCCACGATATGTGAAACAAGGTAATATCACAAATGCCGACCGAAGAGCATTAAGAAGAATAATCGTGAAAAACAGGCGTGCCAATTATTTACAATTAAGTGTTTTGTAGAGTGACGCTGTTGGAAGGAGAATTCCGGGCCCAGAAATCATAGAGAGGCCCACAAACTTTGATCTAGCACTTGCAAGGTAAGTTTTCTTATAAAAAAAGTGAAGTAAAAACCCTAAAGCTGCACAACTTGTTTATAGGCCAAATAAAAGCCACTATTGACTCCACTGCAAGAGAAAAATCGGCTTAGATGGGCAAAATAACATCGACAATGGACACCTCAACAATGGTGTGCAATACAATGGATGATGAGGCCCGATTCGAAGTTTGTGTTGTTGACAGTCGCAGTAGAGTTATTCGCAAAAAAATGAAGCATTCCATGTTGACTGTCTGAAGAAAAAAGTGAAATTTCCAGCATCTATTATGGTCTGGGGCAGCATGTCATCAATAGGAGTAGGAAAACTCCATTTTATTGATGGAAATGTGGATACAAACAAATGTTTGGCAATTTTAGAAGAATCGCTTTTACCAGTGATGGAAGAATGTTTGACATCCGGCCAAGATTTTGTGTTTCAGCAAGATGGTGCAGCGTGCCATACCTCAAAAGCGGTAATAAAATCGATGGAAGAAAATAATGTACCACTTTTGAAATGGGTTTCCAGCAGTCCAGATCTATCACCTAATGAAACTTTGTGGCACGAGATGAAAAAGGTTCTACGACAACATCCTGCTCGTACAATCACCGAACTGAGACAAAAGCTTCCAGAAATATGGGATTGTCTTACATCAAATTTTTGCCAAAACTTGGTTAACACTATGCCCCAAAGAATTTCGGCCGTAATAGAAAATAAAGGTGATGTTACCCAATGGTAATCTTTCAATTGCTGCTTTGTTAACTTCGCGCATTTATTCGCTCATTGTTTATTTGTTCAGATTTTCTATTAGATGTTCTAAGTGAGTTCAAATATGTATTTTTTACGAGTAGAGTGTATCTAAAATGTCTTTGAGAAAATAAATTGTTTTAGGAGTAAATAGTTTCGTCATGTTTAGTTTATAAAGGCATATTTTGGTACAAATCTTGAACTGAGCCAACTGAAGTGGGAAGGGGCTCGCATATATTTTTTTTAGTGATTTATAGACTTAACACGACGTATTATTTATCGGGACTAACGGTTGTCCTTGCATTATGCTGTAAATAGCTAAGCGCTGCGCGCTCTCCGCCCTGGTTTGTATAAAAACATGTTTGGAACAAAAGTTATAGAGAATTTTATTCTCTACAATAATCATATGGAATGCAAATAGAATTTAACCTATAGGAAGCGAGACCTTTGCGAAAAAACGATTTTTGTGACATTTGATATTTGATATCTTAGGACACGGACAAGACCTCTTTTAGAATGACAAAATAAACGTTGTTACGAGCTTACAGCTAATTATTTATCTCTCATTTTGAGATGAAACTAATAAAACCAGACCGTGATTTTATTGTCTAGAATTATTAATTACTCATGGGGGCTCCAATACGAAGTACCACATGACCCCCTGTTCCATTTAAGAAAGTTTTTCAAGATAGCACCTATCCGTCATTTTCAAAATTTCACTTTTTACTTAAAAATATAGTATTTACGCATCAGTTTCGTAACATAGAATTTCAGCTGTCCAACTTGACTCTTCCACAAAATAAAGAGAAGGAGATCCCTTTAAAACGCACTGTAGATAAGCTCTTCCATTTGAGTTCTTCATGACATCCTGCTGGATGGTTTCGCCAGGCCTCTGCTTCTCTTTCTAACCGAATTAATCCCTACACCTTGTAGACTAATCAGAATAATACAAGAAGGTAACACAATATACCAGAATAGTCCTCCAAGGATCTACTCAGCTGAGCCATCTCAAAATAGTTTCAATGGTTTTTCGCTGTCCAGTACTCAGTATTTAGGCTCTGCCTTTTTAGAAGCTATAAAGACGACCCCCTACTCCCACCCCTGACACCCCGTCAGTCCACGTACTCGCAATGTTTCTGAACGTATGAGAGTCTACTGCAGAGTAGAGTTGGGTCGCTCTGAACGAAACGTTCCAAGGGAGCAATAATAATAGTTTTATTTTCAACAGGCAGATATACCCGATTGCAGGAAATATCAACGAAATGAGAATAATAATATATAGTCAACGCCAAACAAAGTGGCGTGCACGTCATCACGATAAAAATTCCCCGACCTAATGCCTAGGTTTCTATCACAAACAATTGCTCTATTGCAGTTTCATATTAATGTGATATATAAATTGTAAAATGGTCATTACTCTCTTATTATGGTTAATAGTCATATAAACATTGTTATTAAAATATCACATAAGTTGCTTTCTGATAAATTTAGACGCATTATGCGAAATAAAATGTTTTGCAAACGCTCCAATCACTTATCGACATGTAAACGCACTAAACCGATTTCGCAGCGTTGACACATTGTCACCTTGAAACTTATTTAAACTGGGAACTGACATTTGTATTAATTTTGACACTGAATCAATTTGTGGCATTTCAAATCTTTATAAATCCTTTGGCCCCGCATACTGTAAATCAACAACTGTTTGTTTCAAAACAAAATTATTCATTTTACGAGTAGATAAAGGCAATTTTGGTATATAAAGATGCCCAAACAGTTAAATAGTCGGTGTAAGGAACTCGTGGCCTCGTTAATGCACTACTTTGAGCAAGAAAAGGACAACAACGGGCCTTTGTTGCCTTTAAATGCTGTTCAAGAGGTAGGTTACTAATAATTATATGTAATGTATATTAATAATAGTGAAATTTTATTTCATTTTTTGTAGCGTGTTGCTGCTGCTCTAAAAATTAGTTTAAGGACAGTTAGTCGTATTTCCGAGGGTGTGAAAAGTGATGCAAATTTAGAATCGCTCAAGAAAAAGCGGAGTTATATTAAACGTGTAACCAACACAGCGACATTGGATACAAGTGCCTTTCGAGAAGTGATCTATAATATGTATCACAAAAGTAAGATCTTATTATAATAACTTATCAGAAATTTGCATTAATTTGTTAACTAAATTATAATGTCATATTACACATGGTTTCAGAAGAACAAGTTACGATACAAACTTTATGGTCTCGATTAAGAGATAGGGCATTATTTGATGGTAGTGCCACGTCTTTAAGGCGGTTGCTTAGAGATCTTGGATTTAAGTGGCTTAAGGACAATCCGCGACGAGGGCTCATGGAACTACCAAGTATAGCTTTGAAAAGGGTGGAATTTCTAAGGCAATACAATCAAGCCAAGGTTGAGGCCTTATACCAGTTTGTCTTCCTCGATGAAACTTGGATATTTCAAAATGGGACCATAGGTCGCTCTTGGCAAAATGGAAACCAAAAAAGCGTGGAAGCTATTAAAACAGATGGTAAAAGGTATGTACTTTTACACAATTTGCACTATAAAATTTAAAACTAATATATTTTAGATACATTATATTACATGCTGGAAATGAAAATGGGTTTATTGAGGGTAGTGAAGCGATATTTTCTTCGAAAACAAAATTGAGCGATTACCATGGAGAGATGAACCAGGACAATTTTTTGAAATGGTTTCAACATCAGTTATTAGAAAAATTGGAGAGTCCATCTATGAGTATACTGGATAACGCCCCTTATCACAGCATGATATTGAACAAAATGCCCAACAATGCATGGACAAAAAAAAATATCCAAGACTGGTTGACAAATCAAAACATACCATTTTTAAACACAATGTTTAAAACAGAGCTATTGAGTATTGTTGCTCGGTACATAATGCTTCTTAATTATATATATTTTGGTCGACAGTTTATATTTCTTTTGTTTATTCCTATTCTTAAAATAACTGCTTTTTTAGAAACAAACCACCTAAAATATACGTGATTGATGAATTGGCGGAACAACATGGGCACAAAGTTCTTCGTCTGCCTCCTTACCATTGTATATTTAACCCTATTGAGTTAATTTGGGGCATAGCAAAAGGTTACTATAACAGACATATTGGTAGAGATGGTAACAGTGAAAAAGTCTGTTTGGATATGTGGAACGAGGCTCTACAAACGGTTACTCCAGACATGTGGAAAAATAGTGTTCGACATACTGAGCAAGAAATTTTTAAATGGTATGAAAGAGAACGAATTTTTGATCGACCAGACATCGAACCTTTAATAATCAACTTTGAGAGTGATGAAGATTCAGATTCAGACAGCGCTGAAGAAAGAAACTCCGACTAACTTTATTGTACAGAAAAAGCTTACACCAGTATCTTACCTAATTTTAGAATGCATTTTTCTGTATGAATTCTGTAAAATAAATACCATGCATAAAATTTGGAGGACCCCATTTGGATTTTTATTCAGTACCTTTAAGCTATCAATTAAATATGGTAGTTTCATAGTGTCATCTGATCAATAATTGTCATACTTAATGATTATGCAAGTACAGATCTATAATTTTATTATACTATTATTTTTGTTCTCATTTGAGGTTAATATTGCTTATAAACCTAGATATGTAAATAATAAATTTTATTATTTTACAAAAAGTTTGGCAACAATGTAAATTTTTTAACACACCCACCTTGATGACGTGCACGCCACTTTGTTTGGCGTTGACTATACTTATAAGCGAATAATCAACAATAATACACTAGCCACCGTGTCGTACATCCAGAACTGGCCGATACAACCGCTCCTTTGTTCCGAGAGTGCCGACATTGTGGAACAGTCTACAAGAGGAGTTTAAATTTTCTTCGGAATTCTTATAGCAGTCGCGGTGCCCTGGCATTTAGACTTCAGCCGGCGCGGCTGCTTCGGCGTAAAAAATAGCTTACAACTTCATCAAGGTAAAGCTCGATAACGCTAGATTTGGTGCCATTGAATATGTAGCAATTGCTGATAATACTAAATAATGTACACATCAGGTGAACGGGAGACTTGGACAAAACAATGGTGTGGCTAAAATTACAGTAAAATGTAAAACCATAAGCGAGGACCATTAAAACCTGTTACTTAAAATATATATATATATATATATATAGCAAATTTTATTGTAGAGCAAACTAAACATAAGAAACAGAGCGGAAATATCTCGGTGTACTTCACGAGATCTGACATCAAAATTTTTCAGCAATACGTTATAGTCGAACCCACTATGTGAATAGAAACCACTGCAATTGAAAAACGTATCTCGGCGTTAAATAGTTTCCAACCTGCTAATAGAATTTTGGTAAGTAGGTGCCCAGATAAGCGAAGCATATTGAAGCCTGATTGTGACGTATGTTTATACAGAAGCTTGATTGCTTCAAGATTCTAGACCCTTGACCAGTTTCTAACACAGCACTTCAGCAACAGCATCGTAATGTAACGTTATAGTCAACTTCGTATCAAATGTAACCAGGCAGCAGCGGTGGCCGCAGTAGTAGACTCTTCGGTCTCCTGATCAGTCGCCGTGCGCTGTGCGGGTTCGAGTCCCATCCCAGGAGAAATTTTTCTCTTGGCTATGGATGTTGTGATTGTCCGTAGGTGGTAGACGTTCTCTGACTCTCGAACGCGGAGGTACCACCCGGCGGATCTCGTAGGCGGAGCCAGAATGTGTGCATGTTGCATGCACATGTGTTCCCTCGTCAGAGTCCGTGTGACGTTCCCCCTTTCCCGTGTATCCCCCTATAGCGCCACGGTACCCAATGGGTGCTTAGGCCTTCGTGGTAGTTGGGGTATAAAAAAAACACCTAGGCGTTTAAAGCTGTTACTCTTTCTAACATAACGTTATTAATACTGTGGTTATCATAAGGCACTGCAGGAGGAACCGAATTTCCATCATCTCGAAAGAATCGATTTCGATAGTTTTCAGTCCGATTTGAACGATTTCGACTCTTATCCTGGTGGTATCGATTCCGACTTCTGAAACCAGATTCAACCGTTGCTATACCTACACTCAAAACCGGATTTCATTTGAACCAACTGTTTTCTAATATTCTAATATCACAACTATCACAATAGGGATCCTCGCGCTGATGCTAACTAAGGTAGTAATTGTAGTGTTTAGATAAATTCATCACATAAGATGAAACAGGGAGACACAAAATAGTACTAGTTACAGAATAGGTGAAGTAGGCGAATGATATAGAAATGAGCGAATTTTAGTCAGCAAAATTACACAGAAGCAGTGGCGTCCAAGACCAAGCGGAAGCACAAAATGTTTCAAGTTCAAGTCTGAAACCACTGACTGCCACAAAAGTGTGCAGGTCAAAAGGCCTCAACCAACATAGCACCTGTGGAGGGGTATCACTAATCACCCTCCAACACCTCTTCCATCTTGTTTCATTCTACAATCCCACTGACCGTCCAGCAGTTAAATGTACCCACATCCCAAACGTACTACATATACTAGATCGATTTTCACTTGGAGTCTTTAAAATCAACTTCTGTATCCAAATTCTATCAGAAACGTACTGAATTGAAATGGACATGTTTGCTTTTCGTTTCTGTCATCACAACCAACCGTAGACAGCACTGTATCGGGCTCATTCGCAGTATATTTCTAGTGTCTAGCGGTTGGTGGTAGTTATAAAGACAAAAAGCAAACATGTCTATTTATGCATATTTATATTGTTACAGTTTCTTTTTATGGTCGACTAACGTTTAACTATATCTTGATAAAGTAAATTATTACAACGTTTTTCTTATTCAGAATAATAATATTCTATAATTTCTCTCGACCGTAAATACAAGAGCTGGAGGTGACTTGGTCCTACTTCCGGTGCTCTCGTGAAGGCATTCAGCGGCCCACTACCCGATTTTGTGAAATAGTCTTACACGCAGTGCTGTGGTTTTATCGGATGGTGGAGATTTTAATAGAAATCGGCCTCCATTACGGAATTTGTAGTTGAAGTCCTTTTTCTCACCTTCTTGGAGATTTAGTCGTAGACATAACTACACTGAACCATCGAGCTGGTAAGTGAACATGTTCTCCAACCGACGTGTTCATTTCCTCAACATGATTTCTAATTCTACGTCTGTGAAGAGCAGTTCCCCACTTCTGTTAACACTGATTGTTCGAGGGTTCTATCTACGGGTTCGACTTCCTGCCCTCGGTTGCCTTCCTGTGATAGCCAGACACCTGCCAGGGTTATTTTTATTTTCTTTTATTTTTACTGGAAACCATTTAGCTGGGGAGGTAGTATAAAAAAACTTTCTTTGCCAGTCCTCCAGGACTACTTTAATTTTTTTTTAATTCCCTTTTTCAATGAATGTTTGTGTACCTTGTGAGTTTGTATCTCCTTTAGCGCCAGAGATCCAATATCGGTTACTTGATAATTCTTTTCCTAGTGCTTGGAACTAGATGGCGCCCGAACCACAACCATGGAATCATGATCTACCATACTGGCCCGTTTCGGCAGATAGCAATATTATATGTCTCAAAATGCTTACCTTTCATCGGCCTTTTCAGGCGAGGAAACAAAAAAAGTACGGGGGAGGGGCACATCTGGGCTGTAGGGCGGCTGCGGAAGCATTGGGATGCCGGCCTTGGTCAGGTAGCTGTTCACAAGAAAGGCGGTGTGAGCCGGGGCGTTGTACTGGTGCAACTTCGAGTCGGCTGCGATGTCTTGTCGGACCCGACTGACCTTTTGTTTGAGTCTCCTGCGCACTTCCACGTAAAACTTGGCGTTGACGGTTTGTCCAGGAGGAACAAATTCATGGTGGACGATGCCTTTGATGTCAAAAAAGACAATGAGCATCGTTTTCACTTTGGATTTGCTCATTGTTCCCTTTTTGGGCGAGGAGACGCCGTCGTGTGCCACTCGGAAGATTGCCTCTTTGTCTCGGGATCATACTCAAAGATCCACTTCTCGTCACCTGTGATTACGTTATTCAATAATTGGGGGTCACTTTCACACATGTTCAAATTTTCTTGGCACACTCGCCACTCGCCGCAATTTCTGGTCGTCAGTGAGCACTTTTGGGACCATCTTCGCGCACACCGTGCGCATGTTCAAATGCTGTTTACAATGTCACGAACCACAGATTTTGGTAAATTTAACATCTGGGCAATTCAACGGATACTTAGTCGACGGTCTGAGTTCAAAACTTTGCGCACACGAGTCACATTATCGGTGTTTGTCGAAGTCGAAGGCCTTCCAGCACGGTCTTCATCAGCGACCTCTTTCCGGCCCTCCAAAAAGGTCTGGTGCCACCGAAACACAACACTTCTTGCTAAAGCAACACCTGGGTAAGCCTGCTTTAATCGCGTACCTCTGCTCTAACGAACGCTGCATTTTCGGCTTGCACCACTCACAGAAACACGTCGCGCGAAAATGCCTGTCCTGACTCTCCAAGTGTTCGGAGACAACTGACCAGGCGCTCATTCGTTAGCTAGGAACGCCATCTACCGAATCCAGTCGGTGCGCGCACGCTCCGAAGTACAGTCGTGGCGGAAGAAAATGAGTCCTATTACTTTCCGGACAAACCCTGTATAACACTAAGCCCTTCGAAATCAGGCAGGTGTAAGGTCGAATCAGATGCATTAGTATAATAAATATTAGCCTTAGAAAATGAAAAAAAAACGATGTAACAAAAATTTGGGTGTGCACCTAGATTATTTACTCAAGTTCTCGGAGCATGTCATATATGTGTTGAAAAGAAGATAGAGTAACCTTAAAAGCCTGTATAATAGTTGACACATCAGACACTGCAATCGAAGAAAATGGCAAGATCAAACTAACTTACCTGAGATCCGATCTTGAGTATATGAAGTTCTTATCGAAGTAAATAAAGCTGTATAGTATACCCGATTTCGACCGATCAACCAGAATGTTTGAACCATCGACACCATACGAATCGATGTAAGAATTCCTACTGCATTGTAGTTCCTTGTGACGCCCACTAACAGCGATGCTATGTTTTGGAACTTTGGAAATCGGAAGGAACCAGAATTAAACGTAATCGTAGACAAATCTAGACCAGAATCGAAACCATGAAATCGAATCACTAAAAGGAACGGTTTAGCCCAGCTCTACTGCAGAGGCGTGCGGATACATCATACTCAAAACACCCAGCAAGGCGACTATCTAAAAATTATATCAAATTTTTATGATGTAGACTAGGCGCATACTGGTGTACCCAAAGAAAAGTTTAAAGGGTGGAGGCTTAATGGGTCCAGCCTCTTGCATCGGCGATTGAGAATTGAAAGGGGGGCATCCGCGCTTCTAAGAGCAAATGCTCTTGTGGCAATCAAAGAGCATTATACGCAGAAACTGCATTTCAAGAGCGGTCTTCTATGTAACTTTTTTTCCTAGAGTGTTTATCAAAAAGAGTTTAAGTTTAACGTATAAAAATTTGGTATGTGGATTTACCTACGTAAATTCTTCACTTAAAATTAACTTGCACCAGTGGCGGAGATACAGTGGCATTATTTTCCCAAATAAAAATTGTACGCGACTGTTTCTTTTAAACGCGCAGTAGTTACTTTTGTATTTTTTCCTAAAATGCATTGTTTTCGTAAAATAAAAAAATAATTTAGATAATCAAAGCTTTATTTCAATAAATGTTCAAGAAGACCACAATTCTGACCGACACAGGTGCAGCATCTTTTTAGTAAACAAAAACATATTTCCCCAAAATTTGTTATTTCTTGGTTTTGATCTATTCTATCTTGTAACTGATCAGCAGTAGAAATCTGTTCAGCATACACTAGTTGTTTAAAAGCGCCCCACAAAAATAAATCCAGGGGGTTCACATCAGAAGACCTCGCAGGCCAATATACTGGTCCGTTTCTGCCAATCCATCGTTGTCTAAAATGATTATTTAACCATGCTGTTATGTCACGAAGAACATGCGGTGGGGCAGCGTCGTGCACCACATTCGTACTCTCGTTGCTAACGGAACATCTAACACATTTTCTATGTAATTCTCTAGAAAAGCTAGGCATGAGTTTGCATTGAAACATTGTGGCAATACGTGTATAAACAGTTCTCCATTGAAAATGCCACACTAGACATTTTTAGAAAATCTATGTTGAAACGGATGGATTCTTACGACCAAATATGTTCATTATGAGAATTAAAGGTTCCACTCTTCATCTGTCCACAAAAGCAAATCATGAAAATCTGCAATTTGATTATGCATTTGCAGTAACCACTCAAATTTCGCCGTTGCACTTCGTCGCCGGGTCGCAGACATTGCACATTTTACCGCTGGTAAGGATGTGAAATTTCTCGATTTAAAATTCTCCACGCAACACTTTGAGTAACTGGGCTGCAGTCCGCTTAGTACCTACTATATACTTGTACTAGGATCATTCAACGCCAAAATAATCGCTTCCAGTTCCTCTTGATCAGTATGCCGGACACCATGACCTCTATCTCCAGGAAGTTAGGCAATTCCATATTGCGGAAGTCTTATAAATGAACGCGTAAAAACCTTTGGAGCAGGTTGGCGTCTGTTAGGAAATCTGCGTTGATACTCCCGAGAAGCCGCTAACGCATTTCCGTTACAGAACCCGTACACAAAAATAATATCGGCGTACTCATCATTGCTAAATTCCATTTCACAACACTCAAAAATGGACAAAAAAACTTTTGAATTAAATTTTACAAAAAAAAAATTCCTTTCCAGTTGAGGGTTTTGAAGATACTAAAAAAAATGTTTTTTATTTTTAAACTTCAACACCCCGTATCTTTTTAATAAAGTCCGCGAGGAAAAAGCTGTGGTCCTGTGCATGATGTTTGATTTTTGGTCATGACTAGTGAATCATCCTGTATAAAGAAAAAAGCGGTAGAACGAGAAGTTCTGAGGTGGGCTTAAGCCGCAAAGCGCCTCCATGAATACACCAGTGTGAGCGCAATCGTGTCACGCGGTTGGCGCTGCATAGTCGCCCGCGGGGCACATGTTTTAAGTAGTCCAACCTCGGCTTCTTTTTATATTAGCGCGTATTCGCGATGGATTTTGGCGGCCACAATGGCCTATCTTAGTTGCTGTTCCTATTAGATCAGTTGTGGTTAAGCCAGACCATTGTTTCAGGCTCTTAAGCCAAGATGTGGGACGGCAACCTGGTTCCCTATTTTCTTTTATTTTTCCTTGTAGTACGCGTTATCAAAGTCAAAGGAGCTGCCATACATAACAAGATGGATGCGCGTTATGATGATCATTAGGGATGCAACGATATATCGGAAAACCGACAAATATCGATATATCGACAACTAAAAATTTCGCTACTTATCGATATCAACGATACGCTTATATCGATATATCGATATCGAAAAATTCAATATATCGCATCAAAAGATCGAAAAGCCCACCCAAATTAAAATACCCACAAAACCGGGTAAAACGCTTGACTGGCAACGTGACAACACTGACTCTCTAGAAAATGAGGTATGACGATATGATAAGTGACAAATGTATATGTTTTGTGATATAACATGTGACATGTACACGTGTTGTACCTGTTGGTTGCTAATAAATTAATACTCAATTTTAATTTCAAAATATGAAGAGAAGTAGATTATGGCCATATTTCAAAAAAGAAGACGGTACTGCCGTTTGCGCTATTTGTAACAAATGAGTTAAAACCTCTGGAAAAAAAGCAATCTAGCATCACATATTAAACACAAACATCCAGAAGAATGTGACGTTGGATATGAAACCAATTGTGGCAACAAGCGTTTCTTCCGAACGTATTCTTTCAAAAGCAGGAGCCACTATAACTCAGAGCAGAAACCGACTACAAGGAAGCAGAATGTCAAAGTTACTATTTTTATGTTCAATAGCTAGTACAAAATACTGGAATTAATTTTCCCAAATAAATGTATGTAAAGAAAAACACGTTTTATATACCTATCCGAATTTTGTTTCACTTCAGATACATAAGTATAAAAATTTATATACATACATCATCGATAACTGTTTGATATAACTGAAACAACATTGGATTTCTAATTACTGTAAGCTTCCAAAAAAATATGAAATATCGATATATCGGCTTAATAGACCGATATATCGATAGATCGATATCGACTTAATTCGATATATATCGATATCGATATTTATAAATACTTTGCATCCCTAATGATAATTTCCTCATATCGTCGGAAGTTGTGTTGCTGTCGAGACCAGTATATGCTGTGGTGCAGACGATGAACGCTAGGGCGAAAATATCTGCCCCTTCCATTTTCGACTTAACTCCTCCCTCTCTTTCGGAAGCTCGTGAATATTTAAACGCATCATATTGGAGAGAAGCAGGGATTTCTGTGATTCCTCTTGTTTCGCTCATAAGCTCTTGCGGACGTGATTCGACGATACTCTTTCTAATGTATGGATCTCTATATATCATTCTCGGATAGAGGCGTTTAGGTTAGTATACATAGTGTTTTATCAACTCGTTTGCCGATTTCGTGAAAAGTTGGCGATAGCATATTGTGAAAAATACTTTTCATTGCCCCGCAGATGTGTCCCAGTTAATTTCAGACGCTTAGGCAACGGTGTGCCATGGGAATATTACTTTCATTCATTATTACTAGGATAAAAAATATACTCAATTCGTGATACTCGGTGACAAATTTTCCGCTCGTCGATATGAAATGCATTGTACTAGAGCGTTTTCTTTTGAATAATTGGAATACTCGCCCAATTTTTTTTTGTTTTATCGACTTTACATGATAATTTTAGTATTATATAGAACGTTTTATTTATATCTAATGTTTTGCCAATACAGTTTAATGAAGTACATGATTATAGACATTATAATTTTGTATGAATGTTGTGTAAATGATTTTTTATTCGTTTTTATGGTTAGGTGTTAATACAAGTACTTTGTATTGTAAACAGCTTTATTGAGCTTATTTTCCAATTTTCATCATTTTCCTCTTCCGAGTCGCCGTGCGCTGCACGGGTTCCAATCCCAACATAAGAAAAGTTTATCTCTTGGCTATGGATGTTGTGATTGTCCGTAGGTGGTAGACGGTGTCTGACTGTCGAACGCGAAGGTACCACCCGGTGGATCTCGTAGGCGGGGCCAGAATGTGTGCATGTTGCATGCATGATCAAAAACTATTTATCCGAAAATATTACATCTTCCATACGTTTTAGTACAAAAAGGATTCGCTTTAAAGTGGTATTCTTGATGATCGATAATGACGTAGGGAGTTATTCCTACATCGAAACATGCATGCTGACACGTGGACAATATATAGTCCTTCTCACGAGTACCCATTACGGTAGAATGACAGCTGATTATCTAGTAATATGTCAAAATTCCCCATAGCCACAAAGGACACATAATTCTGACGGATCCGTCAATTCCAGGTAGACAGATCCATATTTTGTTTTAATTTATTGTACACTATAGATTTATTTTGTACTTCTTACTAAAGGTTCCTTTATCTAGAAAAGTTCATTTGCATTCAGAAAACAAAATGCTACAAACAAGTTTTACTAGATTTACATCCGATTCATTATTGCCAACATTGCAGACTAACACAAAAATATCACTTGTTTTGATACGAATTTGTAATTTTTGGTTTCTTATACTTGAAGAACCATCAAGGTATCGAGAAAACGTAACTTTTTGGTAGAAGGTTTTATTATATGTAAAAGTAGCATTATACAATGTGTTTTGTCACGACATACCGATATTTAAGAGGGATATTTTTCAACTATTTTTATCGACAAATCCACCCCCCTACAATGTCCTGCCTCATCTCCCTTGAAATGGCAGCCTTTTTTATTTTCACGTTACGATTACGGTAGTGCATGTGTGAAAATTGTAATACGTAATTGTCACATAATGAATTTGGTGTCATTTGGACGATGACATGTTGTCCTAGCGATTATTGAAAAACTTGTTTTGATACTAACCGTCAAACATACTTATAAACAGACAAAAACAAAAAAAAATGTGGCAGTAAATTGATTCTTTTGTGCATTTCCGCACACCATTCAAAAACTAGTCTGTGAAGTTGTACCTTTTTTGTGCTAATTATACAGCTTTTTGTTATCCTAAGTACCCTACAAAACTGTTTTTAATATACATAGAACCGAGATTTTCGGTCAAATGCGCTTATAAAAATGACTGCAAACGCCCCAGCTGTATCACGATAATTGGAACCTTTCATTGGAAAGCAATAATCTATCGACACTACCATAAAAATTTACTGTTGTCAAAATTGTCGGAACAAATTAGCTATTTCCTGAGCTAAATCTATTTAAAACAAATGAGGTAGCAATGTCAAGAATAGGTGGTGACACTAACTCTGTCCAACTGTTTCGCAACGTGGGTATTACTGACCACCGAAGTAGCTGTTATAGTGTCTGGCTTTACGACTACTATATTAATAAGATGATACGATGTCAAAGTGTGCTCTACATACAGCTTCCTAGTAATTTCCCAATGAAATATTGGACAAGTTGGACAAGTCAATAATCCACAGCTGTGGTAACAGGTCATTTTAACAACTCAAAGTGACAATGCGGCTTCTTATATTAACTATTACATGTATTTAATGTTTTCAAGTAACCTACTCATTTGGCTGTATATTATCTCGTGTAATACTTGGAAGATCTGTGTAATAAAACGCACTGTAAAACCGCTTCGGCATTGAGAGGTTCATAACTTTAGCAGCTGCAGAAGCAAGGCTTGTTTACCGTAAAAAAGTTTTTTTTACAACACCGCATAGAAATCAGCAGTCTGCCTGGGTGGCCAATGAGCATGTTCTCAGGACTAATGTAAAAAAAAAGTCATGGAGCAGTATCATCACTCAGGTGAATCATCTTTATCGAATACTACATTAATTGTCGTCATTTAAGACTATCTTAGTCCTACCACCAAATCATATGGCAACTGGCGCTACAAGCTATTCTCTAGCTCAGTTAGACTCACTCATGTCGGTTTGCTAGCACCGTTTCTATGCTATCTAACCCTGAACTCGTGAATCATTTCGTTGATGGTAAAGAATGGATGTCAAGCTGAATCACTCCATTTGGAACGTCATATCCACTATCGTTATCTGGACCCTGTGCTGAAGCTGCTGAACGATAGCGATATTGCTGTTGCTACCTATTCTCAAAAACTATTATCCAATGATTGCTTAGATATTCTACCAATAATCCAATACATCTCTGAGTTTGATGCCCATTTGATTCCTTTTTGAAAAAAAGAAACATTATACTCTAAGGATCAGGAAAAATATCTATACGTTGGTATATGGCTAAAAGACTGCCTGTGTTAGATGCTCTTAAGGAAACGTGTACAAGGCCGAAGAGTCGTTCCTTGAGAGCTTCTTATTGTAAGGCCTTTTTTTATTTTACCAAAGCATCTCGTTAACCTAGGGACAAAAGACCGGTCGTATTTGCAAGTTCTGGGTGTATGTAGTTCGAAACGGTTAGGATTCGAGGCCGAAGTCTTGCGGGTCTGTCTGACAGGCACATCGCGAAACTGTAGAAGAGAGCTAAATCGCCGATGCTCCTTGGGTGTGAAAGTGTTCCGAGGCTGTGCATCAGAGAAGAGTAATCAATCAGTCGGAAACCCTCATCTTAACAGCATCAAACATGGGTAATGTAGTCGAAGCGGCAGCACCCAAACATGTGAGCAGTGCTTGAGGCTCAGTCTCATCTGGGGCTCAACAGAGTAAGGAGTTCGTGTAGAGAAAAGTACTTCTCAACCCCAAACAAATAGCCTAGATTTTTCCCAGCGACTGCCGTTATTGAAAAGGTATGTTCAGATCAAGTCCTCGGTGATCTGGAATCCGACCTCCGAAATAAACAGCTCTTTGGTAGAACTCGGCCATCTATCGAAACCAGATAAGCGCTAGGGCGCTTCTTGTTATTCAAGGTACAGTAATGTGTTTTGGGAGTAAACTGTACCAGCTTGTTGCGTCCCCAAAGCAGTGAACTTCAACTTTCTCTCTGAATAAGTCGCTGCCAATCTTCTATTCTCCAGCTCGCCAACAAAAATCGGCTTGTAAAGTGCTAAAGTGCTGTCATCGGCAAAACTGTGAATCGGATTGATCGTACAGCAAAGGAGGTCGTTGATACGTAAGAGGAACAATGTCGGAGCCAAGACCGATTCCTGTGGAGCATCCGCATTGACATCGTTTTTGCCATCTAATTTATAAATAACACGCTCTTTCTCTATTAAACTTAAGTCATAATTTCATAGTTTTAATAACCGGGAGAATATTAGATAGAATTCATTTCAAAACATCAAAGTATCCAATATCTTGTTATCAATATTATTCAACAATACTCGTATTTCCGTCATCTGTCGAGCGGTAAATAAATCTCAAACACGTCATTCATTGTCACATGGTCTTAGCTTTACGAGATTTTGTCGAAAGAAAATTGTCAATTGCCACACTTCAGCAAATTCGCATTCGATATATGAGAACACCCCCATATGATCCGCAAGGCAAGCAAGATAGGCTTAGAATGGGAAGACTTCAGATGCAGGAGTATACCTTAAGTTTTATATGACATTTCCAGTAACAAGAACGTTAAAATTTCTAGGAAATTGAACTAAAGCTAAAACCAGGCGATATAATTTATAAGAAACAGAAAACAATTTATCCGCCTATTAACCGATAATTGCCGCATAAACATTCCAAACGCATTATTCTAATATGCTTCATCGCATTGCATGCGATTATGAACCGTGGGCGATATTAATTGTAATTGTTTATTATTTAAGTTTATCTCAAATTATCATACAGCATCCATATAACACTCTGAATTATTATATGTATATTGGTGCATGTACAAATTGAAATATGTAAACTAAATAAAGCCTCTCTTACGCTTCGAAATATTTAGCGCGATATATAGAGCAGCAAATATCACACTTAACTCACAGAGGACTACCCAGGGAACAAAATCGCTTATTATCCATGTTCTAAGAACCTCCTCCAATAGCAATATCACGTTCTAAACACGTGCATAAATAACATACCGCACATCAACAGATTACACTATTACAAACTCCTGAGAAGCAGATATTTAAGAATACGCTTCCGTACGCTTCAGTACGTTCTAAGAATATTCGAATATGTTCTAAGAATGCGATCCTCAAGATCTTTACATGTTCTAAGAATATTCTCATTAGATGATTTGGCAGTCTTCTCAGAGAAGACGCATACAACCGATGGTTGTCTATTAGATATCCATGGTGTATAATATTCATGGATAGATATTATCCATGAATTTGGATATTACAAAATGTATGTTATGTATTCAATATACCCAACGGATATCCACTAAACGGTCGTGACGTATTCAGTGGATCGTCATAGAAACATATGAAGCTTTCGTCTCCACTTCGATAATTCTTTTTTTGTTTGTTTGCAGGTGGACACAGACTTGGTATTCGATAGTTTAGAACTAACAAATTCCAACAACGAAAACCACCACAGGAAACAGAAGCACAGCAGGATAGAACGGGAAAGCGAACATCCGCTTGACAAACAAGAGCAAGAGGATAGCCACTGGCTGTCAGGTATAAAACTATACTACTACCATACTACTCGTATATACACTTCAAAATATAATAACATAGTTCGGATACTGGGAAAACCATAAGGTCGCGTGTGCCTTTCTTTCAACTGCCTGTTTGGAGCAGTATTCTTCATCCTTTCCATATGGTTATTTCATGGTGTGTAAAGAGATGACTAAGATGCAATGTTATGAATTTTTTTTGGTCGAAAAATGCATTTTTTGTGCATTTTATTATGCTTTTTTTCTTCAATCGTAACTTGTTAATAGATATTAATAAAGCTCTCAAATTGTATATCAAAGTTTCACTTTCACCCATTCAATTCTTCCATAAAGTGGAATATTAACATACAATTTTAGAGCTGTACTAGTATTTGTTAACAAGTTACGATTAAAGAAAACATGCATACATTTTTTTTACAAAAAAGAAACAGAGAATATTAGTTTTCAGTCATCTCTATGCACAGAATGCTCATCGTGGCTGTTGAAAAAAAGGGACATGCAACGTTAACATTATCAGTCCGGTACAACTTTCAGATGTTACTCTTTTCGTATACTAAGATATGAACATTGTTCAGATAATGCTATATTGGATAAGATTACGCTTGAAACAAACTACATATAATTTTCAATATCAGTTAAACTTTGCTAACTTCAGCGCATTTCCATAATAGAACTGGTTCAGCATTTTATACGGATTTTACCTCAAATGCTAAAACCAATTTTTCTCGAAAAGGTCTGAAGAAAATTCGCAAAAGCAACGATCCATGTAAAACTGTATACCTTAATCAAAAACGCAATCGATGTTTCAAAAAGTTCAGTGGCGTAGCAAATGATTTCTTTTTGGCTAGTGGATTTGGTAACTCTTCGTACCTGGGACCTTAAATAACGATGGGACGCCTTTGCAATATCGACGCTTAGGCAACCAGAGTTACGCCAGCATCCATCAAGGATGGTATGACTAGCTGCATCATCGTGATGGATCGGCCGACATCGGGAGCGTTCGAGAAGCATCGATCGAAATCGAGGGAACTTCAATAAAGCGTGGAATAGTTCTGGAATTTGCCAATTGCATAATAAATACTCAGGCATACTCACCAAAGGGACAGTCGATCAGTTGACAAGGCAGAACGCGATAGATATAAATTTGTCACATGCCACAGAGGTAAATTTATTTGGTCAAGAAGAGCATAAGCCACTCATAACAAAGTTACGTGTTATTGGCATATATTAAACTTGTTTGCGATCTACGATACTCGTCCTCAATAGGTTTAATAATATATTCTGATAAACAAATGGTTTGGAATCATTATCTAGTGGCATTGTGAAACTAATACAAAAAACTGTTTTCCTACGTAACAAGAGCATAAGCCACATACATAATGGCAGTAAAGTCAAAAGACACAAATTCGAATGTCTCAGAATCACTATCAGTACTGCTATCAGTCGAAGGATAATGTCTGTCATCTGAGCTAAATCCAGATCCGTCTTTATTTTTTGTACCGCTGAAACAAGTGGCTTTTAGCTTTATTGGCGTAAAAATGATACCTTGGTTATTCAAAAAGAAATTATAGCGACATGTTTCAGCGAATTGTCAAAAAATCAAATTCGGACATCAATCAACAACAGCTGATTTTAGCTGTCAGTGTGTTTTTTTTATTTAAATGTGATCCAGGTACCTTGTCGCCCCAAGCCCTCCTTATGATGGAACGGTTCAAAGCATAATAAATCGTTTGCACTCACACTCACAGTAATAGAAAACCTAATTTGAAAATACGGTGGAAGCGCTGGATTTAATAGACCGTTTTTAGATAGCACACTCGCCATAAATTTGAACCCTATAATTCTGTATCTAGGACCGTATTATGGACTCATGTCAATCCACGGTTAATACTTAAGAGGATCTGATTGACTTTATAGTTCAAGTACGTGTTACTGTCTGTCAAAACCTTACCACGATTACTTATTGTTACTAGGTACTGTAAATAGGATAAAGAGAAGCATCAGTTCCTTATTTTCAAAAGGTGAAGATCAAAGCAAACACCACAACACTAAACATGGGAAAAGGGAAGCAAATCACGAAAAACATGAAAACAAGGAAGAAAAAGGAAAGAAGAGAAGGGATCGGCAAATAGGGCAGCAGGAAACTGTTGATGATGAATACGATGATGACAATGAGGCTGACAATGTGGCTGAAGAATCTGCATGGGAAGATAATGTAAGTTAAAGCCGCAAATCATTCCATGCTTTAATGGATATAGTCCCATCGTAGATAGCGTGTGCTAAAGTTCTAATTTCAGTTTTTAGATATTATGTATATCTAAATGCGACAAATCTTGAATATCACATACCTCTGGCAACATTGAACCGGTTTTGTAGAAATTTTGCACGATACAAAAGCTACCTAGGAGTAACGAAACGTATTAGTACGTATGTACAAAAAAAGCCAATGAATTTTTGTTAATTAATCGTCTGAATAGATGGATTGCTGCTCTTTTGGTTTTTCCGTTAAACATTTTCATTTATTCCAATATCTTATTTTTGGCACAAAACTCAAAATGACAAGGGCGATGGACTTGGTTCATCAAAATTTCACAAAATAATGCTTGAATGTTCAGTATTTTTTATTTCTTTGTATTTCATTAAGTACCTTAAGTCGAAAAGTAATACGCATGTATATTTTTAATAACTAACATTGTTCTTATTTTATTTCAGCACTTGAATATAAGGCCAGATGACGACGAAGATTCCTTAGATGTCCAGTCTGGTCGAGGGTCAGGAGAAATTGATTCTGGTACCAGCGATTTTCCAACGCTTCCACATTCACACCCACGTAAGTTTTACTTCTTACTACTCGTACAGGTGAGATCCCCCTTCTCCCAACAAACGATAATCTTCCATTCATATCAACAACGTTCTTACGAGCCTAAGGGATCTTATGAATGCTTAATACTTCATAGACCGTGCTCCAATTTGCAACGTGATACACCATAAAATTCGAAGATATAAGAGATCCTACCGCATATTTTGTGTAACTTTATTGTACAATGCTACCCAAAAAAGTAGAATAATCTGAGGATACGATCAGTGTAAGGCTCGAAGAGTAGTAAAATAGCTTCCGGTCATCCGACAACAGACGGCCAAATGTGTACAGCTGCTTCGTGCTATTTGGCATCGTGATGTTGGCTTAGGCCCATATCGTCAGTCGTCCCTACAATTGTAGGGCACCTTTATGGACTCCTTGATTGTCATAGTTTTCTACTTCTCCGTGTCAGCGCTCTATTTTGTCACAAACATCTATTTGCATCAAATTGTGCTTGCTTTTGAGTTATATAATGTTTTATCAGCCTCAAATTTCCTACAATTCAAAATGAAAACATATCTTCACAATCGGAGAGCGCTGACGCTGACACGGGAAAAGTGCAATCTAGAAATTTGTGAAGGAGAGAAAGGAGTATGACAATCAGGGAGGCCATAAACGCGCCCTACAATTGTAGGGACGACTGACGATACTGGCCTTAGTCCCTGTGGACAACGAACGGCAGCTGAGCAAGTATAAGATTTATCGAAATAAGACAACAGTAAGTGCCATCTATTACCAGAATCGACCACTGCGAAAGTGAACACTGCAATCTGTCTCTAGGAACTGTAGCTCAGTTCGCATAATCATCCGGTACTCATATTGCATAACTGTATGACATTATAACGACTTTTTCTAAAATTAAATAAGTTTTTTTTGTCATTATGCAGTGTTTCGTATAAAATGTCACCTTTGAACTAGCTGACATGCTACTCGTAGTAGCCGCGGAATGAACTACCGAAACACTAACGGCTACCTGGTACACAAGTTGACATCTTACCGAATTTTTTTTGTCTTTATCCGTATTTTCCAACTTCTTGATTGTGGTGACATCACAAGCACTTGGCTTATGCGTCCAGTGGTGACTTTTCTGTTTATGATAAATTTACGATTTTGGCGTTTCTGCTGAACTGTAGAAAAGGAGGCAAGCTTGCTGGTTTTTTGTCTGCTAGCTATCACTTCCAGATCTTACAAATTAACGTAATCAAATAAAGCTTTGTTAAATAATCATATATTTATTTTATCTTCTACAATTATGTTGCTTGTCCAAACTGTAGTGGTAATCACCGTCTAAAAGAATGTAAAAATAATACTTTGAAATGCATAAACTGCTCCAAGTATAATGAGAAAGTGAGAACTAAATTTGAAACAAACCACTCTGCCAATGATGTGAATTCATGCTCTTTTCCTCAAAATCACATTAATAGTCTTAAATCTAAAATCAACTACGATGGTATTTAAACTCCAACATAACTTTAAATTAGCACAATTAACCGTTATATCGTAATTTCTAGTATCATTGACATTGTGCATCTTATTTACAAGCATGATCCTTACATCATTGGTACATCACCTTCAAGAATTTGTAAATCAGAGGCAATGGGAAATGTAAAGTGTTCCAATCTTAAAAAACCTTCATTCTCGATTAAAAATTCCGCAACAAGTCCCTCTTGTCCGTTTTTTCCAGTGAAACTTCAACAATTAAATTATCAAGTATGGATGGTAATCTAAAAACAGTGACATTTGGTCACCTTAACGTTCGTTCTATCCTGTCTAGTTTTTCTGACTTTGTGGATATATTATCTGAACAAGAGAACGACTTTTTCGCGGTGACCGAAACATGGTTGACTAGCAATATACCTACTGAAGTTGCTAAAGTTCCAGAGTATAACTTTTATCGCAGAGATAGAGAAGGCCGAGGAGGTGGCATTGGCATTTATATTAAATCTATATATCAGGTGAGACTTCTTGACTTTGGTATTGATACCAGCACAGTTATGGAAAGCATCTGGATGGAGGTTATTCTTCATAAAGAAAAATTTTGCATTGGTGTCATTTACAGTCCCCCATCTAAGTCCTTTGGCGATTTTGCTAACGTGTGGGACTCTGTCCTGCCTTTGTGCATCTGTCAGTATGATAACGTTTTAATATTAGGTGACATAAACTCTGATTTATCTAATGCCAAACCATAATCTCAATAAATGTTTTTCGTGTTATGGTTTTTGCCAAATGGTTAAAGAACCCACCCGTATCACGGAAACTTCAGCCACTCTGATTGATGCAGTTTTTTCAAATACTAAAGAACTTTTTACCGGCACAATGGTTTTGGATGCTGGGGAAATTTCCAATCACCGACTTGTATGTTGCTCGCTGGAAATTGCTGTCAAAAAAACTAAGCAAACTTTCATCTCTTTTCGAGATTTTAAAAACTTTGATGAAAACGGATTTCGTAGTGATTTAAGCTCAATTGTTTGGCACGACCTGATATTATTGAATGACATCGATGAAAAAGTTGATTTCCTTACAAGGAACATTCTTAACGTTTTCGATATCCACGCGCCGCTCACAATGGTGAGAGTCAATAAACGTCAGGCCCCTTGGTTGACCTTTCCGTTAAAAATTATTCTGAAAGAACGTGATGTTGCACTTAGAAAATATAAATCCGATAAAACAGTATCGAGCTGGTTAAGCTACAAAGAAAAACGTAATTTTGCTCTTGCGTCAATTAGGCGTGAAAAAGCGGGTTACCTATCTTTCTTGCAAGAGCATCATATGTCGAAAGAACTTTGGAGGACTTTAGGTAACATAAATATCGGTGGCTTTAATTCAAAGACAAGAACTTAAAGTATTCCGTCTCACCTCAATAATCTAAGCGCTATAAACGATTATTTTGCATCAGTGTTTCATTGTGCTAAGCCCGACGAAGCAACATTCAATTTTGATCACAATAACACGTTTGGCAATCGGAGATTTTTCTTCACTCTGGTTGAGCCTACTACTATCAAAACTGTTGTGAGTCTCCTTAAGTCAAATGCAAAGGGTATTGATGGTATATCTCTTTTTATGATTAAGCTATCTCTCCCTATTATACTACCTTACTTGACCCATATTATCAATCTGTGTCTTGAGAAGGGCTACTTTTCTAAATCTTGGAGACGAGAAATAGTAAGGCAATACCTAAGGTCAGGAAGCCCACCGATTTCTCGGATCTTAGGCCCATCAGTCTTTTGAGTGTTTTGTCAAAGATCCTGGAGAAAATCATTTATTTGCAAATCTTACATTTTTTAGAGTCAAGTGACATACTCCCAGTACATCAGTCTGGGTTCAGAAAATCATACAGTACTACAACTGCTCTTCTTAATTTAGTGGACAGCATCATCAGGGCCCTTGATAAAAAAATGTGTGTCGCCTTAGTTTCACTGGATTTCTCCAAGGCCTTTGATAGAATTGATCACGCACTGATGTGTGCTAAGCTAAAATTTTATGGTTTTTATAAAATAGCAGTGCAGTTTTTTAAATCATACCTAACCCACCGTTCTCAGCGCGTCTCACTGTCTGGAGTTTTGTCAAATGAGCACTTTATCACTTCGGGTGTGCCTCAGGGCTCAATTTTAGGACCCTTGTTAGTTTTAATTTATGTAGCCGATATTGCTGAGTCCATTCAAAATTCACAGCTACAGTCTTATGCGGATGACACTCAACTGCTTTACTTCTTTTATCCTGAGAACCTCCAAACTGCTACTATGGAAATTAACGAGGACATTGACTCTATTTGCACCTACTCAGCCAATAACAGCCTAACCGTTAATGCTTCTGAATCTTCTGCTGTGCTATTTTGTCCAAATCACAGAAGAGCCGAAGTCAGGGTTTTCTTGAGTATATCTATTAACAGTCAAAATCTTCCTTTTTCTGAAAGTGTCAAGTGTCTAGGGGTGTTTATTGATGCAAACGTGCGGCTTCGTGAACATTTAAATAATCTGTTACAAAGAAGTTACATCCGTCTGAGAACTCTGTATGCGAACAAAAATTTGATGAATCTTAAAGTGCGAAAAAAGTTGTGTAAATATTTTGTGTTATCTATTTTTAATTATTGCAATCTAGTTTATCATCCTTGTTTGGATGTTGCAAGTCGTAACAGAATATCTGTAGTACAAAATAACTGCGTACGTTTCATATTTAGTTTAAGAAAATTTGATCATGTTTGGGATCGTTATCCTTTAATAGGTAGGTTAAAGATGACAGATTTAGTTAAATACAACTATCTAACCATTATACATAAGTTACTTGTCTCTGGAACTCCAATTTATTTACGTGAAAAACTAATTTTTAGGTATAATGTTCATCAACGACATATCCGTAACACATTCGCTTTAACAATGCCACTTCATAGTTCATCTGTTTTTAACAGGTCCTTCTCATACAATGCATGCATGTTGTACAATAGCTTAGATTACGGAACAAAAAGCCTGCCGCTGTATAGTTTTAAAAACACTTAAGAGCTCTTCTGCTCAATGGTGATACTGTTTTTCTCCAGCAATATATTTTAAGCTATTTTTTATTTAGGTTGTAATCAGTTACATGGGCATTTTTTTCCTTTTATTTTCTTTACAGCTGTACTTTTTTACCATCTATTATTCTTATGCAGTTAATGGTTAAGTGTAAGAATAGCTGCCATAGCTAAACTTCGCCATTAGCTGCTCACTAATCTAATTATAGATAATAATATATGCATTATCTGTAATTTGTTTTTTCCAATAAAAGACGGTTTATTATTATTATTATTATTATTATTATTATTATGTACTTGAATATGTTATTCCGGTAGATGGTATTAAACGTAAATTTTCTGCCAGTTGATCCATTCTGTCGATTGTGAAATCCCTGATTGATGATGGTGAAGAATCAATCTCATCTCCAACATGAACTTTATGGAATCTTTGCCCCAAATGAATTTCGTGTTTGGCTCGAACAGTCCCAACTCCGGAAAGTGTTCGTTATATATACATATATACCACTTCCAAAAATTGGGATAAGGTAGCATCGTCTACAAAATAGACAAGAATAATATCCTCATGATATTGGTCATGAATGATAGTGATGAATGAACCAAATACCTTCTATCGTAACTAAAGATTTAACTTTGTGTTGCTGTTCAATTTCAACAGATTTTTACATTTCTGTTTGACAAATTCCAGCAGTTAAAGTTAAAAAAAGCATCCACACAGCTCCCAATTCTCAATGGAAATCAGATCGTTTTTAGTTATGTTTCTGTCAAATTTTCCAATCTATCATAATGGTTACCATTCCATCACTATCAAATGTACGATGGAATGGTTCACAGTTCACTGAGGCATCTGATTCATTTTCGAGCAGTATATCCACGCACCTTGATTCACAAAGATGAATCTATGAACACATTTTTTGACAGTCGGTGGAATGATTGCGGTCACCAATATGGCTGCTAGCCAGAGTTGGTGGCATCTGGCAGCCACAACCGTGACCTGGCTAAGAATGTGAACAGCATGCTGTTTTTACTTCCGCAGTGGTCAATTCTAGATATAGATACACTTCGGGTCTAGGGGTTGCTATTCTGGTCGCTAATTGAAATCACCATACTTAATAATCTTGGGATAATACACTGTTTTCCTTTTAGACGTTCAGACACAAGTTATTAGGAGGATATATTTGTACTAATTACACTTTTACTCGTACTTTAACATGTATGTATAAGATTGGCAATGTTCAGTCATACCATTAATAGAAAATCTATTAAAGGCGAAGATAAATTGACTGTGAATTTTAGCGTAGTCTCGTGTGGGAAGTGGGTATTCTAAGCTTCAATTGGCATTACATAGATCGGAAGCACTAACTGCTATTAGTAGGTACTTATCGTTCTAACTATATGCTATTCTAGGTGTATACCGATTTGCTGTAACTATAATGGAACCGTACCTGGATGACTACCAAGACAGAAACTCTCCAGCATTCCAGGACTTAGCCCGTCGCGTGAAGAGATCATTTGAAGAAGCTTTTGAGAATGTACCGGGTACACAGACTGCAAACGTTATCAGTATACAGTAAGTACCTGATAAATGATACTTCTATTTACACTGGTCCTTATAAAAATCTGTTAAGGCAGAAGTTAAGCAGTTATTATATCAAAGACATATCAACGATCCATCAGAGGTCGGCGAGGCTATATGACGTACAGCTTCGTAAACATGAAGCATCCATGTAGTAGTAGTGGTGGTGGGGAGGCGAAGGCTGTCAAGTTAGCCACCTTTGGCTTTTTTTTTATTGACCTCGAGTTCACCGAGACATTCTACTCTACAAACTTATCCACAAACCTTTCAAACGTTTCTGATGTCCTGATAAAGGTCACTACAGTCAAAATCACGAAAGATGACTATTACGTCATATCATAAGTTGTACTGAAGTAATCAATGGACGTACGTCGACGATAATATCACGAGTCAGAAACAAAATGACAACAAATTTATATTATGATCTTGCGAAGTTAGGTTATTTGACCGATTATTTTTATTTTCATTTTATTTCATGGTTTTGGTTTTGAGTGATACCTTAATAATAATTTTAGTGGGGAGTTTTTATTTTGAAAAAAGCAGTTATGAGTAGAATACCTTAAGTCAGGAACATCAAAGACCAAAGTATTATTCGAAAACAACATAACGTGCTTCAACATAACCTAACTATTTTTTATCTTTCAAATATGATCGATCATGCAACATGAAAACATCGTCTATCTTTGTCGGATACATGCAAATTAGCAATACAGTTTGTTTAGACAATAAAATTCTGTTTGTCTCTGTCTAACATATCAGAAACTTCATGAAATATATTCACAAATCGCTGTCGTTTGTCTTTAGTACAGACTAAAATGATGACGCAATCGTCATCTTTCGTGATTTCGACTATATGCAACACTATCAAGCCCCATGGATCGGGATATATCAACCCTTAGGCTGCAATACACAGAGCAAATACCTAGAAACTGGAATGTTGCCTCTTTCTCCTCCCCGCACATGGGACAAATAGAGTCTATTTTTACCCATAGAAGGAGCAAGTGACTACTCAGTCTGCAGTCGCCGGTGAGGGCCCTCACCGAGAGGTATACGAGCCTCTTCCCACTTCAGTTGGCCCAACAATTGAAATCTTAGTTTTTTTCTTATCAAACACAAATAATAAAAATGTAGCAGGGTGTTATAGGCTTAATATATTGACAATGAATATTTTTATAATATATAGTGGAAAACACCAACTTTATCACTCCCTAATCAAATTTCCAGCATAAAGATAACACATGTTGCAATTACAGCATATCAACCTATTTTTATTTTAATGCAAAATAAGTCTATAACGCATAGGTGGCTGTGAAAAATATTTTGTTTTTATTAATCACAGCTCTCAGAATACGTTTAAAATAGTTTTGGGTAGTTAAGGTTTTCAAAATGGGTAGAGGAAAGGTTATTAGGGAGAAAATTTGGTTACTGATAATTAAATTTTATAATTCTGGGAAATCAAACTCAGAAATTGCAACTTTGTTAAACTTATCGTGGTACAGTGTGAGAAATATTGTTAGAAGATATAACGTATCTGGTTCAGTTAATATTAAGCCACGATACGTGAAAAAAAGTAATATCACAAATGCCGACCCAAGAGCATTAAGAAGAATAATCGTGAAAAACAGGCGTGCCAATTATTTACGATTAAGTGCTCTGTCGAAGGAGAATTTCGAGGTCCACAACTCATAGAGAGGCCCACAAACTGGGATTTAGCACTTGCAAGGTAAGTTTTCTCATAGAAAAAAGTGAAGTAAAAACCCTAAACTTGCACAACTTGTTTATAAGCTAAAGAAAAGCCGCTATTAACTCCACTGCAAAAGAAAAATCGACTTAAATGGGCTAAAGAACATAGACAATGGACAACTCAACAATGGTGTGCAATACAATGGAGTGATGAGGCCCGATTCGAAGTTTGTGTTGGTGACAGTCGCAGTAGAGTTATTCGCAAAAAAATGAAGCATTCCATGTTGACTGTCTGAAGAGAAAAGTGAAATTTCCAGCATCCATTAGGGTCAGGGGCAGTATGTCATCAAAAGGAGTAGGAAAACTTCATTTTATTGATGGAAATGTGGATACAAACAAATATTTGGCAATTTTAGAAGAATCGCTTTTACCAGTGATGGAAGAATGTTTGACATTCGGCCAAGATTTTGTGTTTCAGCAAGATGGTGAAGAGTGCCATACCCCAAAAAAGCTATAAAATGGATGGAAGAAAATAATGTACCACTTATGAAATGGGTTTCTAGCAGTCCAGATCTCTGTCACCTATTGAAACTTTGTGGCACGAGATGAAAAAGGTTCTACGACAACATCCTGCTCATACAATCACCGAACTAAGACAAAAGCTTCAAGAAATATGGGATTGTTTTACACCAAATTTTTGACAAAACTTGGTTAACACTATGCCCCAAAGAGTTTCAGCCGTAATAAAAAATAAAGGTGATGTGACCCAATGGTAATCTTTCAATTGTTGCTTTGATAGCTTCGCGCATTTATTCGCACATTATTTATTTATTTGTTCAGATGTTCTATTAGTTATAGGTCTAAGTGATTTCAAATATGTATTTTTTACGACTAGAGTGTATCTAAAATGTTTTTGAGAAAATAAATTGTTTTAGAAGTAAATAGTTTCGTCATGTTTAGTTTATAAAGGCATATTTTGGTACAAATCTTGAAGTGGGTCAACTGAAGTGGGAAGGGGCTCGTAGTTGCCTTTATGCGTTGTGTTTGCTGCTCCTTATGCTAATATACCATAATTTATGTGAGACTTTTGCCATGATATAGTATTTTTAATTGACAATACTATACTATGTTTTTGATAGTTCTTAATCTATAGAGAATGGATTGGAACCTTTTCGCAACATAGTTTATATGCATATCCCATATGAGGTGTGGATCTATGTAAATTTCTAATTATTTTACACAATTTACTTTATTTATTTAATATTTATTGTCCGTGTTTTTTATTTGTGGATGATCGTAAGGTGACACTTTCTTGGCATACGATATGAAAGGATTATAATTAGTTTTACCTGAATTTATTGTTAATAATTTATTCTTAGTATTATTAGTCTTTGATTTTACAAATATCATTTTTTGCTACGTTTCTTAGATCTGTCCAGTTTTCATTTGTATACATCACTACAGTATGATCAGCGTAGCTCACGATTCTCTCATTCAATTTTTGTTTGAGTAAATCTGCCACATATATTATGTTAACGAGTAAAGGCCCTAAGAGTGTTACCCGTACTCGACCATTGCTATTTTACTGTAAGTATTCTCAATTCTTACAGAATGACTTCTACCAGAGAGTTCAGCTTCCAATAATTCATATGACGTACCCCTAAATCCTATGTTTTGGAGGGTATTTAGGAGTCCATCGTGGCTAACTCTATCGAAAGCTTTTGACAAGTCAATAAAAATTCCGATGCAGTGTATATTGTCGTCTACGTTATTTGACAGTTTGTGGTGATATACTTGATCGCGTCTTCTGTTGATTTGTCTTCAACAAATCCAAATTGCTTTTTTGATAATGTGCTTTTCTGTTTTATGTAGTTGTTTATGCATTTTTTTAGGATTTTCTAGGAGGTTTTGGAGAGACTAGATAATACAAAAAAATTGATCAATAATTTGTAAAATTATGTTTAAAACTCTATTAATAAAAATAATTAATATTAATAGTAACTGGCCTAGACTTAGCCTTATCATTGTCGTGCCAATGCTGGAGTTTGTTGGTCCACAAGTCCTGCCGACTAACCGACACAACTGCCACATGGTCGCTATCGATTTCGTTAAGCATCCAAAAAGCTGTACTCAAAAATGGAATCCAAACATTTTTGAGGACATAATAATTTCCTCCAAGGCTTCTGTGGTTGATCGCGGTATATAGATGTACGGACGCTACCATCGCTCCCCTCTAAAGAGGTCAGGTTCATCTACATACGAATATTGAAGGTACGAGTATTTAGAGAGCCGGAAAGACTGATTAGATTCGGATTTCTGTAGAAGTAGGTGAAAGTCACATGAATATGGAGGTCTTCCAGAGACTGCTTGTCGCCTCCGATTTCTCAGCATTCCATATACAGTATGTTCTCTAAGCATAGAAACTTTAAAAAAGTTTGTACTTCGAAAGTAGAAATCCTGGAAAGCTCATAAATCTACAGAAGCTGTTCATCATCAGTCTTTACAAAACGTTGGATAGGTCCATCAGGAATTGACCTGTTTCCTGCTAGATCTCAAGGCTCAACACCTCATTATTTTTTATCCTTTACGAAAGACGTTCGATCATAGTTCCAGATGGCACTGCAACCTTTATCTTTATTGTACCTTGCTACTAGATAGCTGAAGAATCATGACGTTCAGGCAACATGTACAGCTACTAAACGAGTACACAACAACTATAAAACAGCCAGTGTTAAGTTGACATCTTGTAGAAAAACCTACATAATGTCACAAAGAACTCATATAATGTTAAAAAAAAACGACATAATGTCACTTTTCAAGATAGGTAGGTAATACCCCTGCGGTACTGGTTTAAACTCCCTCGGTTCTAATTCTTGTTTCCAGGAAAGTTGTTGCCTCGCGCTTCCGTGAGACATGTAAGGGTGATTTTTTTTCTCTTTCGCATTGCCAGGAGCTGAGGTGCTTTTTTGTGCCGGTGTTCTTTCAGGCAATCGTGTCCTTTCAGAATGTCTGAAGCTACATGTAGCTTGTTAACTAACTACTTGCTTTATTTTAGGGCCTCGAAGAATGACAGATTCAACCTCCTCGCAACTGTGGACGTGGACTCAACTGGATACTCAGAGGCAGAAGGCATCAGAAGTGCTATCTACGACAAGATTAACCAGCAACATAGAATTGGTGACTTCACTGTTATCCCGGAAAACTTCTCGTTCAGAGAATTTGGAGGTAATAAACTTAAGTGCCCGGTAGAGTTCTAATTTGGGGTAACACGTTCCCGAATCGGCAGAACGACTAGAAAGTGTCATTCATATGTCTTGCATAGACCACTTAAGAGACATGGCACTTTGGGATGTAGGGCTAGTGGTTGGTAGCCTATTAGTTCATATTTGATCCTCTAAGACGACCTGTGCCAACACTGTACTATTTCACACGCTTATCTACTGGTAACTGATTATTTATCGAATAATCTAGCTCCTGCGATGCGATGTACATATTTGGTCTTGCACCGGTCTGGTGCGGACATATATAGACAAACACAACATCCCTGGCTCTAAATTTAACTTCCTAGGGCAGGATTCCAACCAAACAAGGTGACTTCGGGCCGTATAGCACAATGGGACTATATATTATTTCAAAACACGTGGGACTTCTACGATCAGGCAAATTCTGGATATGGACCACAAACACACACACGGATGGAAATTAAATAACCTTCCGTTTTTTTCTCAATGTTTTTTTGGATTACTTGATTATGATTAGTCTTAATAAGTTACGTTTTTGGTTTTATTCTGTTTTTATTTCTTGTTTTTATTATATTTTTTTGTTAGCCTCTCATCCAAGGTGCGACCAAAACCACATGCCATGCCTTAGCGGTGAATGTGTTCCTATAGACAGCAGATGCGACGGAAAGCAAGACTGTTCAGACAATAGCGATGAAGAAGGCTGCGTAGGTAGAGAAGCAGGTACACTTTTTTGTTTCAATTTTCATTTGGGTTCTAATTTTGTTTCTTTACATATCTGTAATTTCGACCAACAATCATTTAGAAAATTCCTGCGCATTTGCAAAATACATTTAAAATTCGTTCAGCATATCTTTCGTGTGTATTATGACTCAAACGTTTCATATTCAAGCAGTTTCAAACTGCATGAAGCACAGCTCATAGTTGAAAAGATTGATACTCAAGTCAATAGTCCAAATAGCATCTCCATTTCTGCTTGGAAAAATACTATGATTCGGATTTTTTGTATAATCTTATTCAAACCTCTTTTAACGAAGGCAAGCCCAAAATTACGTCAAAAATTGCTTAAGCAATATTTTAAACAAATTGTAAAAATCGATACTTTCGTTCCGGTTAAAGCATTTTTACGTTTTTCTACAAAGAGGTGCATCAGAATTTTTGTCTAAGGTTCATAGTTTTCTAGATATAAACGATTAGATATGTCAAAAAGAGCAAAATATGCCATCTTCGGCCACATAAATCAATATGAAAAAATGGCGTCAAGTAAATGGACTTTGTACTTCCCACGCAACGTTGTGATCAGTTCGTGAAGGATTATGTTCGGTATAAGTTAGCCTTTCTGAGAAAAAAGTTAGCTACGGACATGCTTAATAAAAAATTAAATGATTCTCCCCCTACTTCTGCGAGAAATTACTGCGAGCACGCATGATCATTGCTCTGATTAATCCCGCGTGGATGATGATACTGACTTTCACAGCATGCAGCTCGTGACAAAGTTTTAAGGACTGGTGAACGGGGACATCTGTGATAAGTGCAATAAGTCTAATCGGTGCGTAGAGTAACTGGGATTAGAAGGATGTAAATCTACCAAGGTCAAGAATTTGAAATGGATAGACCGACAGACAGATCAACAGACAGACAGACAGACCGACGGAAATGAGGTGTTTCGTGACGTACATGTGTATATAACATTCAAAAAGCATAATGTCTTATTTTCGAAACCATTCGTTATTACAATACTCCATCGCCAGTAGGCGTGAGAAGTAAAAACTAAAATTTGCAGAATAAAATTGTGCAAAAATGCCAAATAAAAACATTTTCTGAGCAGATGCGACATTACTACCTGGACTGCAAGTCAAGCTCTTCCAAAATACATAAATGATGACATAGATGATGGATTTCTGACCACACAATACAGGTACCACCGCGGAAATAATTCCCCGCAGTACTAGTGTACGATTCAGCTTCCCATCAACAGCCGAGAAGCCGTCCATATTAAAGAACAATTTAGCTATTATTTATGTACAGTCTAATCATATTAGACGAAAATACCCCTGGTTTGCGAAATAATTGTAATATCTGGTTTTATTGGTGCATCTTGTTCAAGGGGGTATTTAAAACATAGACACGTAAAATGGGTACACCAATTTTTGTGGGAAAACTCTTTATTCGACAACAAAGAATGAGAAAACGGGTTTTTTTGATTCAATCGAAAGTGTTGGCAGGAACGAAAAAACGCGTTATATAAGATTTTTAGATATTTATGAGACCTACAAAATGAGGCCACAAGTAAAAAGATCATCATCAAAAAAGTTATGGTCGTAAGCCGAGGCAAACTGCAGGTTTTGGCACTTGTTGGTAATACGACGGTGGTCTCTCGCAGATATTTGAAATTCTTCAACTTCGTAGGATTCATACTTCTCTATAACCGCAACAAAATTGGAGTAGATTGGTTAAGTAGTTTTTGAGAATTTCTAAGTGTTTATCCCAAAACAAATGTTTTCCGGCCATCAGTTCTAGTTTATTGAGAAATATACAGGGTTAGTTCAAAGGGCATTTTGTAGCAAAATACACTAGTTTACCTTGCTGATATGAATCGCAAGCCATTCCGGAAGATTAAATGATATTTTTATGCAAAAAAGGATGGGTTACGTTTTTTCTTCTAAACAAATTCAAACATTTCGTATTTGTGAGTAATTCGCAACAAAGGACGATATACACATCCGCTTTGTTTCAAAATGTGTATAGTAATGTATGTTTTTTAAATATCGTAACGCATTTGTTCAAATGCTCACAAATACGAAATGTTTGAATTTGTTTAAAAGAAAAAAACGTAACCATTCGTTTTTCCCATAAAAATAACATTTATCTTTCGGAATGGTTTGGAATTCCTATCGGCAAGGTAAAAACGTTTATTTTGTTAATAAATACTCTTTGAACGAAGCCTGTATATTGTTCAATAAACTAGTAGTGATGGCCGGGAAACAGGTGCTTTGGGATAAACAATTAGACATTCTCAAAAACTACTTGACCAATATACTCCAATTTTGTTCTTGTTATTTAGAAGTATGAATCCTACGGATTTGAAGAATTTCAAGTAGTTGCGTGAAATTATCGTCGCATTACCAACAAGTGCCAAAACCTGCGTTTTGCCTCGCTTTTCGGCGATAACATTTTTGCTACTTGTCAGATCTTTTTACGTGTGGTCTAATTTTGTAGGTCTCATAAATATCTAAAAATCTTGTTTGAAAAGTTTTTTCGTTCTTGTCAACACTTTCAATTGAATGTCAAAAAATACGTTTTCTCATTATTTGATGTCGAATAAAAAGTTTTCCCACAAATATGGGTGTACCCATTTCATGCGTTCAGGTTTCAAATACCCCCTTGAACAACTTGCAACAATAAAACCAAACTTTACAATTATTTCCGGAAAGTTTTCTAATATGATTATACTATTACTGTGATTTCCAATTACGCGCACAAAATTTTGACACATAATCCAGGTACCAGCGAAGAGGTGTTCCCCCACAACACCAGCGTACCATCCAGCTTTTTCCCATCTAGAACCGACGAACCCCAAGTTGAAGGCAGTGGAGATGGTGATGAAGGAAACTGCAGAGCAGACGATGCCGAGAGATGCGCGGACGGGTCGAGAATCATCTGCGCAGACCAGAAATGCGACGGACACCCGGACTGTGACGATGGAGGGGATGAAAAGGACTGTCCGATAAGGGGTACTGCATATCTTGTTCAATTGGTGTTGGGGGTACTAATTGGTGTTTGGAGATGTCGACTAACATTATGATGCTTCCTGTGGACTAAACAGCTTCTTGTCGTTATTCTAACATACGTATTTTTTGGGACTGCTAAATAGCGAAGATGCAAAAATTTGAATGTCTCTTCTACCCAAAGGTGTATGGTTTTGATAACATAAATTAGGAGTGTCTTCAAATGTACCGAGCGGGTCAATAATAAAGAACGCCAGCTGTTACTGTACATCCGCTCAACCTAGTGCTACTCGGTTTAAAAAATTAAATAATGAGAGTGATTAAGAGAGACTGCTGGGAATTTTCAGCTTCCTGAAATGGCTGCTGGGTGTCATAATTCCAATTGAAGAAATTTAAATGCTTTAAATGCCCATCAACATGAAAAAGCATATCGTTGTATTTGAAAATTTCGAAAACATCAGAAACTAATCTGATAAGACCTTAAATGCACAGGTGAGAACTATTTCAAATGCAACCTTAATCAGTACAGCCAAACAGAAGTTATCTGACTTTTTCTGAAATTACGTCTTACACCCAAAACTAACCAAACATTTGGAACTTGAGCGGTCAACACTGTCAGGCTATTTAATGAGTATGTTACTCATGAATATTTGCAGAGTGATGGTTTTTGAAGTTTTGAAATTGGAATGACGCCACCTAGCGGCCATTTCAGGACGTTGCAAACAATTTCCAGCAATCTGCCTTGGTCACTTTCATTATAAAATCATATAACCCATAGCTCTAGGTCAGCCGGTTGTCTAGTTACAGCCGGCATCCTTTATTATTGGCCCACATAAACCTTCAATTCTTCTCGTCTTGTGCTGTTGTTCTAGTTCCTCCTTTGTTTTTTTCCTCCTCCTCAGTACCCACACTGTTTCATCTCAGTTCGTGCGTGGGCTACTTCTTGCTCTTTTGTTGAGATTGCTGCCATCTATTCTAACTAGATGTCATACCATCCGATTTGGTTACGTTCTATCATGGATATATATTTTGCAAAACTTCACACAAAAGCAAAACCTTCCAGGATTGATCGCCGAAATACAGCGAAGAAAAATCCTTCTGGCATCAATAACAGTCTGGCATAACAACTGTTACAGTATGTGGAATGTAAATTATAAATCCCCCAATAAATGTTCCTCAACAAAACGTTACTGTTTGCTTAAGATCCAAGCAGAGATCATTCTTCAAAAGGAACTACTCGTGACCATCGGACATTCGTGGGATGCTTATACTGGTTAAAACTGTATTATATTTTTGTGTGCTTGTATTTTAACACTATTTTAGTACATTGTAGCTAGCCAATCATGTAATTGTGTACCGAATCACACACCAACAAACTGTAGATTAATCTGATCATTCAAAGACTAACATATTCTAACTCATTACAGTACACTTTCTGATGTGTAAACTTACATTTGATGTTGGATAATGATATTGATCAGATTACCTTGCAACCGCATTCTCGCTAAAATTTGTGCGAGAATTGTACAGTTCGGATTTTCATCGATATATGGGTTCAGGGTGTGAAGGATAATCCTGCAGCTGTAAATAAGTCACGTCATGACCACATGGACAATTTCTTGTTCTAGTAAAAGTCTCATAGCCTTAGAGATTTTCAGCATTCCATTTTTTACAAAAAACTGGCTTCTGGTCAGTGTCACTTGTATAAATATTGTTTTTTGGACAGGGTTGCTTGAAAATACTGACAATTGAGTATTCCATCCTATCTAGCGTAAGATGGCAGGAAACCCACATAAAATTTATTCTACAGTCTAAATTTTCATGGAAAATTACTTTAACGCCTGACTTTAACATCATAAATATAGTATAAGCGAATTAAGTATGATCACCATCTCAATTAGTCTCAAACGTTGATGGTTATTAAAAAATCATCGCTATTCACAACCTGCCTTAATTTCCTTTCAGTTGCACTTATAATACACAAAATCTGGCTATGGAATAACATATTTGCATTTGTAGGATTACTCTCCATTTTCTCATGTTTAATGGTGCTTTTTGTGAGATTAAGAAAATTTCGATAGCAAAAATGTTGAATTGTTACTCGCTTGTTTTTAAAAATGTTGAATGCTCCGTCAAACTTGTACATACTACATCCACCATTTTTTAAATCATAACCGCTTGACCTACCTTCACAAAATAAATACAAAATGTCTAGATGTATGTATTGATTAAGGTTATCTGTCAGCATATTGAACTTACTAACATAGGATGGGGCAGCATCACTATTACTTATACAGGGTGCCCTGAAGATGCATTTTCTCTTCAGAAACAACTACGTTTGAAACAATAACAAAGCTAACTTCCAGTAAAACAGTACCGGAAACGTAAAAAGAATCCAAGAAAAATACTCACTATTGATTTGTTAGGAATTTCAAGTACTACCCTGTCACATGCCTTGTTTGTAAATACTGCCAAAAGTTCACTGTTCGATTAAAAAATACGAGTTTATTTACGTCTTACTAAATTTGTAACATTTGAGGTTGTCTAGGTATTCTCCTATGTCCACCCACATAGCTTTTGAACAATATAGACAAACCTAGGTTCTGAATATACCAGCGGAGTATCAAGTAGGAATTTGTTACTTACGGTTTTTCAAATGCGGTTTGTTTATAAACTAGGTTGAACTACACATCGTGCGGATACTGACTCCCATAGTCATAGTACTACACATGACAAGCAACATAGCATTTGTCGTAGTGGGAGAAGGAGAAATGCAGGGCCGGCCTGGCGACATTTAAAGTTTCCTGGAACTTAATATCTCGGTTATCTCAAGGCATTTGTATATGAGCTGTTGGGAAATCGTTCATATTGCCTGACCTATGCGCTCTATAAAGGAAAGTCCAAGCTTTGAGGATACCCTGTATAATAGTGATGTGTTTTTTAGCGCGTGAAATTGACTAGCATGGGGCAATTTAACTTGAAAGGAAGTAATCAAGTTATCTAGTTAACTGTTAGACATCCCACATTATTAATTCTGTTAATATTGTTAAATTGTGATGTAGACATATATCTTTTATCTGGAAGAAATTGCAGTGATCATTTTGGGAGGATGTCTGATTGACCAAACTGTTATTTACTTTCCGATTGCTGATTGTTACCTGATTTTTACAGAATGTGCTGTTGGCGAATTCAAATGCGACATCCGAAGATGCATTCCCGTGGACCAGCTTTGCGATGGAAAACCGGATTGTTCCGACCATTCCGATGAACAGAATTGCCGTAAGTACTGACAGTCTGTCAAGTAGTTATGTTTAAGACAGACAGTAACATTATGAAAGGGTAAAGCGTACTGGAACCTAATCTACTGAACTGGCATATATCTGATCTACAACAACTAAATCTATAATCTAAGTATAATAGCTATAGCTACCAGTCAAACATAGAATTGGTGAAATAAATAGTCATCTTTAAGAAATATCAAATTTTTTGTAAGATATGATGATTAAGAATCTGGAGCCTCCCATAATGGGTTCGCGCTGCCATCTATCGGCCACAGTATGTACCAAGGGAGTGTCTTCTCCCCAGTTACTCTGAAAATCAATACTCCGACAGAAATCTAGAACACCCAACGTTATTAATCTATACGAGGTTCACAAGTCTTATTATTTTATTGTTTCAGCATTCTACTAATAGATGGTCATATAATAAAGTCAAAAGTATGAATTTAGTATATGGAGTTAACCACAGAGCGACCAATTCGGCTCGACTCTTGAAATATCTTATCTGAAAGGTGTATATCGTAGGGTATAAAATAGCCATAATTCCAATTAGATTAGAACATATTTTGAATATGTAAATTTTGCGAAATACAGTACAAACTACGGATTGACAAATATTATAACATCAATTACTATACTATGTTATACTCGTATATTCATTAACTCCAAATTACCTCCACAGTTTTGTTTTTGAAGGAAACACTGATTAATCATGTATTTACTCGAGAAAAATTCCCGTATTTCCAGATACTCTCATCATGCCTATCCACACGACTTCTTTTTTCCATTATGGCTTCACTTTTAATGCGATTTATCTGTATAATTCAATACCCTCTTAAATTTGATGTTTGACGTTTATGCCAAAATTATACTGCTTCACTTCTGCTAATAAAGCAGTATTTACATTCACGTTTCAAAACAATTACATTAGAAATGTCTAATACTTTTTTTATATTATTAGTTTTGTCATTTATTTATTTTATTCATGTTCTCTTTATTTTGTGGGGTAGGCATTCACGTTCCTAAAAGTACGTCCAGCCCACAAAAGTAGTATCACAGTGTATAGGAATATGAAAATGAAAAGAACAAATAAACTAAGAGTCATCCAGAAGACATATAATTAAAATATATTATCAAAATTTTATCAATTGTACTAGAAGATATATACATATGTGTGAGGGAAAGGGATGTATAAAAGTAATTCTGACAATTCTACTTTAACTCACTACCCACCCAAACCATGAGAAGACCTATACGTTCAACTAGGAATACCTCTCAAAAATCCTGCCAAAGAACATTCAGCTGCAGTCAAAACTAGTCTTTTGATTAAAGTGAATATAGCGAATTTGTCGCCAATATACGATCTATCCCAATGAGGTATAGTCTCGAACGTGCAAATTTTGCCTAATAGCTTGAATTGAGTTATTCTTCATTTTCTGAGCAGCCGATAAATGCGCGAACTTTCTTGGCTTTATAGACCTATTGCTTGACTTGGAACTTTTTTATTTCAGAATGTACCAGCGACGAATTCAAGTGCAACACAGGACAATGCATACCATCAAGTCAGCGATGTGATGGAGCAGCCCAGTGCAGCGACAACTCAGATGAAGACAACTGTCAAAGTGAGTCTGCATGCTTTGCATTCCTCTTTGTCTTTTATAGGGATATGCGGTTTGGATAAGCACATCGTAGTTTAGACAAAAAATATACAAGAGACAATTGGGCTTGCTGAAAGCTCATGGAATATAAGAGGGCTTTCTTGGTCCTGACAATATCCCAAATTACAAATTCGAAAGGTTCTGGGAAATGTTTGCTTTTAAATATTTTAGAACATACTATATATATTCTAAACTTTCGTTAAAATTTTTCTTTTTATTTTAGCACTCGATTTTTCCTTCAAAACCCAAAGCTTGTAATTTCTATATTTTTGTTCAAAAGTCACCAGTCCATAGTCACAACACACCCTACTTCAAATGTATAATCAAACAGACTTGGGACACAAGGTGTATAAAAAGGGTGTATCAATAAGCCCGCAATATTTGAATTTAGCGCCATTTTGGCAGTCATAATGTCATAATGGTTGTGCTATGACAGATCGATCGTGGACAGGCGGGAGTTTATGAAATTGAATCAATGCACATTAGAACAGCGTATTCTAATTGTTAAAAATTATAAATAATGTTCCTACCCCATCCACTGTTAAAAGAATAATCAAAAAATTTTGAAGTACTGGTTCTGTTAATGATGTGAAACATACGAGACGAGCTCGCAGCGGTCGTTCAGAACCAAATGTAGCCGAGAGTCCAGGGACGTCGATTCGTCATCGCGCTTGAGAACTGAACATTAAAACAGCCACTCTCCAGCGTATTATGATGAACGATTTACGCCTGCATGCCTACAAAGTTAAATTGACTCAGCAGCTTATTCCAACAGACCATGCTCAGCGAAGAGAGTTTAGCCTATGGATCCTTGACCAACAGTACGTGAATGGTGATTTTGTAGACAAAATGATTTTTAGCGACGAGGCCCATTTTCCTCTCATTGGACCGTTTTTCTTTGAACGAGGCGGGTAATCCAGTAACAGTGAATGAGAACCGTTATCGTGCCATGATAATACGGTTTTTTGTGCCACAATTAGAAGTCATAGCTCTTAATGACATATGGTTTCAGCAAGATTGTGCCACATGCCATACTGCTTATGAAACATTGGCAGTTTTGCACGAGTTTGCTCCTGGTCGAGTCATCTCCCGGTGTCGGACTGTCAAAGTTGAGCGAACGTTTTTGTAAATTGAGAACAACCAGTCATCAAAACACTACATTGTGATAGCTCCACCTTCTTTTCTGTCTGTCCGAATATGTAATAGAATATGAAGTATTCAATCTACAAAAAATGTCAAAATCGCTTCCATTTTTCATTTTCCGTATGTGGAAATTGAAAGTCCTTGACATACAAATGCTGTTTGAGTATCATTTTTCTAGAATTAATTTTTTTTTATTGTTTGTTTTGAAGAATGGCCTCAAGTATGCACTGCACTTCCTTCGCAATGCCGTCGTTAGTTCATAAAGGATTAAGTTCAGGAGAGTTTAAATCTTGTGAGAAAAAAGTTATTCTAAATTTTGAAAGGGAAAATCTATGATGTATAAAATATGGCTAATAGTTATAGGCTTAAAAGTTTTCATATATCCCCTAGACCCTCATCAACCCCCGAATTTAATCCTTAGAGCAATTTTTCTGTTCTGAATTTTGAAATCTGTTTCGTGCTTGGGGTAGTAACAACCTGCGTGAAAATTTCATCAAAGTTCGAGTGATGTTTCTCAAGCTACAGACCTGCCAATATACGCAATATATGTACTATTGTCAAATGTTTCGCGATTATACTCCCAATGGCGTAGAAATCTGTACCCTGACGAATTTTGGTAAGGGGCTCCTCAAGAACAAGCTACACCACTGGTTGCTTACATACGAGGGTCACTTTTTAAGTAAGAACCGTTTTGAAATGGAGTCTGAGAAACTTTATTCATGAATGTAAATTGTATCACAAACTGAGATATGATGGGATGTGTGGTGGATTTTCCAATAATTCCCAACGAAACTTGTGTCCTTGCCGCAGCATGAGGCCGAGCGTTGTCGTGAAACAAAACTACGCTGCTAGAAAGCAGGCCCGGCCAGCGGTTTTGAATAGCGCGGCTAATTTAACAAGCTGCTGGTAAACCTCAGCAGATTGATATTTTCTTTAAACCAAATTACTGAGCGCACATCAGAATGGGTGGTTTTATTGAGAAAAACAAAGCTGTATGACCACACAACCAACAACGTCAGAGCCGCCGTGAAACGTTGTGGCGACGTAGTGAGAAACTGACCAAGAGTGTCTGAGGTTGAACGGACGAATGGCCTTCCTACAGTAGAAATGATTTTTTTTATATCGAAGCAGCCGCGCAGGCAGAAGCCTAAATGCCGGAACACCGCGGCTGCTATGATGATCCCACAGAAATTTTGTAATTACGATTTTTGAACTGCCTAAGGTTAGTAGAACTGGGAAAAGCTTCCTATTGTAGATTGTTCCACAATCTCGACACCCTCGGGTCAAAGGAGCGGTCGTATCGGTCAGTTCTGGATGTACGAAGTTCGACACGGTTCGGATGGGACGCAAAAGTGCCGAGACTGTCTGTTAGAGAAGAGTCACCGATCAGTCGGACTGCCCTCCTCTGGACAGCAGCGAGCTTGGATAATGTAGTCGGGGCGACAGCACCCCAAACGTGTGAGCAATACTCGAGGCTAGGCCTTATCTGAGCCATGTATAGAGTGAGAAGGCCATGCGGAGAAAAGTACCTCCTAGCCCTAAACAAGTAGCCTAGCTTATTTCCACCAGCTGCAGCCATTGACGAAATGTATTCGTGCCAAATCAGCTCCTCGGTGATCTGGACTCCGACCAGCCGAAATGAATTACTCTTTGGCAGAACTCGGCCATCCATCGAAACCGGTTCAGCGCTTGGACGCTTTTTGTTCGTCAAAGTACAGTACCGTGTTTTGGAAGCATTGAACTGTACAAGATTTTTGCTTCCATAAGCAGTGGTAACCTCCAGGTCTCTTGTCAGACAGGAAGTCGACGCTACGTCTTCTTTTTTCCAGCTCAGCGGCAGAGATCTGCTTGTCACTCAGAATATTCTTGCATGTAGAGTGCTGTCATTAACGAAGCTGTGGATTGGATTGATCGTGCAGGAAAGGAGGTCCTTGATATGTGAGAGAAACAGTGTCGGAGCCAAGACCGGGCCAGAAGCTTTGTTGATGTCGAGCGACAAGAGCACTCGTCTTACGGTCTTATGCCTGAATGTTACCTCCCGCACAGTGTAGGGAACCTTTGAATTGACGGCACTTGGGCGTTGGCAGCAAATATCTTGACTAGCACTTCGGTCTTGGCCTTGAGTCGAATACAATCGTTCCATCCTGACACGTAAGTGGTGGAAGGCTACTGTTTGAGAAAATCTTTTCAATCTGCTTGGCCAGCGTCCAGAAAGACCGACTGTCATTGCGCTGTGACATTACCCTGTGCCTAACTTTTATATCGTGCTGGTTTTTGGCATTGCGAACCGCTTCGTTATATTTGTTTCTGGACTCGACGTCTGTTCTCTACAGTGGAGTTTTGTAAGAAGGTTCTGTGTGCCTTGATCTTCTGCTTATGTTATGATGCTATAACTATAATGATTTAATGCTAATACGAGTAGTGGAATCTCTGCCGTTTCTGACATATTCAACCTTGAACTTCTCTTAACCGCCCCGTACGGAAATCGCCATTTCGCGCAAGATTTCGAGTACTAGGAAAATATGTTTCGAGTGCCTACATCGCGTCGGCGGCCTCCATCCTCAGCAAGTCGGCTGAAAAGTCGTCTTGCATCTTTCGTCTGAAGTGGCTCTGTCGCAGGCACTCTTCATATGCAAATTCACATCCATCCGCCTTTGAATATTCATCGGTAGGGGATAATCTGGTTAAAAGAAGGGCTAGGGAGTACTGACGCTCTGTTTCGACTTCTTTTGTCATGTCTTGAGCTGTCGAGAAGTTTCGCGTGACTTCTAAATGCACACGGATACCTGCTGGAAGTTCTTAGTCTGTTAGGCATTGTACTGCGACTGGGCTGTTAGGCCAGCAGAACAATGGGGATTTTGTATATACTAAGTGATTTAAAACCAGATTCGCATGTAGGGGGCGATGGTATCAAAAAATAAACGAACGGAGTTTCAAACTGATCTGAAAAAAGTGTTTATATGTAGTAGCATGGTAGACGTACGTCCTAGGTTTGTTCCAACAAGCTGTTCCGAACCAGCTCAAAGCTATTTCCGAATTGTTTTTCTGCATGTCGGAGGTACAATTCAGAACTGGTGTTGGAATAGAGAATTACTTGGCTGGTTGTACCTACATATAATCTTAATTGAAGTAAAATTCGAAATTATCAAGTGTCCGTAATCTAGACATGAAATTTGAGATAATTTATTATTTTTGACGTACTATTAATCGTTTTGAAAGCATTTGGGTAAACAAGATGGCATATTTAACAAAAGATGAGTAGCCTGGTGGAATAATTAACATAAATAATAGTATGGAGAATTTTATTTGTTTTATAATATTCGAAGTCACCCAGGTTTTGAATTGTCACAACTTATACCTCATATGCACCGTTACAAAAGAAGTTGAAAAAAGAATGTAAGAAAAGTCCTATAGAAATTAAGTTATAAACCTGAACCATAAAAAGAAACGGCGGTTCCGCTGGAAAGATTCAGGAGGTAAAAAACTTTGAAAAAACAAGTACAAATGTCTCGACTTCTCCAAAAAGGTATCCATAAATACACTCAAAAATCATCAGAAGTTCGAGAAAAAGTCGGAAGACAAAGTTTGGCGACGTCCTGAAATTCTTCGTTCTTAGATCTTAATCTGACCAGCCTGCTGGCCAGATTGACGAAAGTGGGTATGTGAAGCCCGTTGAAACATTTATGATGACGAGTAGGTAAAACAAAAGGTACTGTGTGTGCAATAAATTTTTAATTACTCAACTGGTGAGTTCTTGTAGGATTTTTCTATGGATTCTCATTCAATTGTAAATGTACAGGTTTTTTCGCCTCTCCGTCTTCAAAGCCAGACTGTGTTGCCTTACATTATTTTCTCACAAGATCATGGCGGTCATGATGAG